TTGTGCTTGAGGAGGGTGCCGTCTCGGCACCCGCTGACGAAGTACTGGATCGCCTGGACTTCATGGACGCCCTCGCAGCTGTTCCGGAGCTCGGTCCAGCGTGCGAGGTACTCGCAACCGGTCTCCGTAGGCCCTTGCACGCACATGGTGAGCTGGCTAGGGCGGCCGGGTCACTTGTAGGTCCCCGTGAAGTTGCGGACAAAGGCTTCCTCGAAATCGACCCACGTGTTGATGCTGCCCATCGGCAGGCTGTTCAACCACGTGCGGGCCTATCCTTGGAGCATGAGCGGTGTGTAGCGCATGGCGAGACGACGATTGGCACTGATGATGCCAATGGACGTGGTGTAGTCGGTGAGCCAGTCTTCTGGCTTCACGGTCCCGTTGTACTTGGGGGTGTCGCGGGGGAACATGAACCCTTTGGGGAAGGGCTCCTCCCGGATGCGTGGGCCGAAGCACGCCGGCCCGATAGCGCCGCTCTCCTTCACCTCCAGGGAGCGAGCGAGCTGGTCGAGGCGGTGGCGAGCGTTGGTGTTGTCGATGGCACGCGGGCCGAGATGACTTGCGGCCAGACTACAGGGGGCTGGGTCGGTTGGAGCCGGACGCCGGCCATGCTGGCCGGGTCCGCGCTGGATCTCTGCGACGGGCTTGTCGCCTAATCCGCTAGCGGCTGTGGCGGCCGGATCGCGCCGAGTCCGGGCTTGGCCGGAATGCGCCTCGCCGAGTGGTGAGGAAGCTGTGTGTAGAAGTTCGCCGGGTCCGCCAAGGCGGGCGGAGCCGGATCCCGCCGGCTTGGCGAGCTGGTTGAGGCGGTCTTGCTGGGTGTCGGCGGTGTTGAGGAGTTCGCGCATCCGCCCGATGCGCTCCTTCAGCTCCTCACCCGTGAGCTGGTCTAGGTCGACTGCGGCTACCTGGGCAGAGGAGGAGGCTCGAGGGCGCTGGTGGGCTCTAGAGGCGAGGTTGGCATGAGCGGGCGCGGGACGCCGGACATACCCAGGTTCGGGGCTCTCCGGAGAGATAATACCCCTAGTCCTGCCGAGTGTAGTTGGATGTTCGATAGTACAATGCTGCTCCTGGAGCTGTATGGGGGAGGAAGAAAGCTGGTCAAGGCTTGGGCTGCTCCTTCTCTCTTGTGTTGCTTTTGTGGCTAGTTCTATGCTTACTTGCCTTTCTCTTGTTACCTCTATCGTCTGTTTCTGATCGTGTCTGCCTTGCTTCCTTGCCCGTATGACTGTGGGCTCCTGGGGGGTTTTATAGACCAACCCCCAGGGGTATAATGGTAATGTTACAAGTCGATGGGTCTGTATTGTCGTTGTCCGGGAACCCGGGCTGGGTCCCGTTGAGGGCTTGTGGTTTTGCCGGGTTCCCCTAGGTGCGGGCCGCACGTGCCTAGGGGGACTATGCACCGTCTTGTCGATCGTCAGGGCGTGGCCGAGTCGAGTCATGTACAGTGGCTCTCCGTCAAGTTGTCGCTTGCTGTCGTCAGCGGTGAGGGCGGGGGCATTGTAGCCACGCCGGCCCTGGTCAGCGGGTAGGTGAAGGATACTGTTGCCACGCTCCGGCTGACCAGAGGCATGGGCGGGGCACTGCTGCCTTGGTCATCGTTGATTGAAGACTCGTCCCATCATACGGCTTGGATGGGACGGGAGCTGTCCCGTTGCTGGACTGCGGAGCACGCCACGGGTGGAGCTGGCTTGTCGAGGAAGCTTCGGTTGTGCCGGGTTCTGCTGTCTTGCGCTAGTTGTTGAGGCCGAGTCGACACGTCTTGCCGGGTCGGAGAGTCTGGCCGGGTTGCGGTGCTTGGCCGGGTCGAGCGACCCGGCCAAGCGCGTGCCGGTTTGAGGGGCGGTGCCAGCCCCGTTGTTTTTTGAAGAGGATCCGGGTTCCATTGTCTGTCCGGGGTTCACCCCCCCGACATCTGTGGAGGGGGGCACCGCACACGGCTAAAACAATTGTCAACTTGTGTGTCTTTGGGGTGCCCTCCTCCCCCGTATATAAAGGAGTGGAGGAGGGGGAGGGTCGGCCCTCTATGGCGCGCCCAAGGGGGGGAGTCCTACTCCCACTAGGAGTAGGTCTCCCCCTTCCCTAGTTGGAGTAGGAGACGAAGGAAGAGGGAGAGGGAGAGAAGGAAAGGGGGCCCGACCCCCCTCCCAATTCGGATTGGGCTTGGGGGGGGGGCGCCCCCACCTTGGCTGCCTCCTCCTCTCTTCCACTATGGCCCATTAACGCCCATTGACTCCCCGGGAGGTTCCGGTAACCTCCTGGTACTCCGAAAAAATGCACGAACCCCTCGAAACCTTTCCAGTGTCCAAACATAGCCTTCCAATATATCGATCTTTATGTCTCGACCATTTCGAGACTCCTCTTCATGTACGTGATCACATCCGGGACTCCGGACAACCTTCGGTACATCAAAACACATAAACTCATAATACCAATCGTCATCGAACGTTAAGCGTGCGGACCATACGGGTTCGAGAACTATGTAGACATGACAGAGACACATCTTTGGTCAATAACCAATAGCGGAACCTGGATGCTCATATTGGTTTCTACATATTCTACGAAGATCTTTAGTGGTCAAACCGCATAACAACATACGTTGTTCCCTTTGTCATCGGTATGTTACTTGCCCGAGATTCGATCGTCGATATCATCATACCTAGTTCAATCTCGTTACCGGCAAGTCTCTTTACTCGTTCCGTAATGCTTCATCCCGTAACTAACTCATTAGTCACATTGCTTGCAAGGCTTATAGTGATGAGCATTACCGAGAGGGCCTAGAGATACCTCTCCGAAACATGGAGTGACAAATCCTAATCTCGATTTATGCCAACCCAACAAACACCTTCGGAGACATCTGTAGAGCACCTTTATAATCACCCATTTATGTTGTGATGTTTGGTAGCACACAAAGTGTTCCTCCGGTATTCGGGAGTTGCATAATCTCATAGTCCGAGGAACATGTATAAGTCATGAAGAGAGCAGCAGCAATAAAACTGTAACGATCATTATGCTAAGATAACGAATGGGTCATGTCCATCACATCATTCTCCTAATGATGTGATCTCGCTCATCAAATGACAACACATGTATATGGTTAGGAAACATAACCATCTTTGATTAATGAGCTAGTCAAGTAGAGGCATACTAGGGACAATATGTTTTGTCTATGTATTCACACATGTACTAAGTTTTCGGTTAATACAATTCTAGCATGAATAATAAATATTTATCATGAAATAAGGAAATAAATAATAACTTTATTATTGCCTCCAGGTCATATTTCCTTCACCTTGCACTACTAGTGCCGAGCTCCTCATAAAATTCCCTTGTCCATCTCTGCATACAGTCGCAGCCGAACCTCCTCTAGTGCCCAGGACTCCCCCATCCACATGTATCTTGCAATAACCTGGTGGTGGCTTCCGTGGATGTGTGTAAGCCTGACTTGTTGTCACACCTCTCACAGCAGCCTGCTGCATCTTCCCCTTGACAATGCCGAGCTCGACTATGAATCTCGTGATGAAGCCGTAAGTCGCATGAAGGGTCTGAAAGATAGCTTCATGGATAGCCTTATGCCTTGCATGCCATATGGACCATAGTGTCACCAATACCATCGCGAATTCATCACGCGATAACAGTTCCATCAACGTAAACAACCATTGCTTTGCCTTTAGCTCCGATGTAGCTATTATTTTATGCGTGATTTCTTCATCGATGAGAGCCCACACACTCCTCGACGATGTGCACTCAATAAGTGAATGGTGCCAAGAATCCCGAACTCCACATAATCCGCACTGGGGCGAATCAGACATATGGCATGAGCACTGACGTCGTTAGTCGGAAGCGAGTGCTTCAACAATCTCCACAGGAACATCCGTACCTTGCCTGGAACTTCTGTTTTCCACAGGGTTTTCCAGGCCCCTTCCTCGGCCCTAGAGCTGGAAGGACCCGGTACTTCCTCCAACCATGCTTCTCTTCTGTTTTTGGTAGCTACTAGCATATTGTATGCCGATTTTACAATGAAAGTTTCGTGTTTCTCGTGAAACCATGCCCAGAAATCTGTGATGTTTCGAGTGCACATATGTATTCCCAATATAACCCGAGCATCCATTGGCATGAACGTTGCTTGGACAAGCTGTCTATCCCATGAGGCAGTCACACTAGTTATAAGCTCCGAAACCAGGGTGGGTGGGTTTGGCGAAATACTTGCATAGGGCTGCATCATCTCCTCACCGGGTAACCAGTTTTCCGTCCATATATTTGTGTTTGTTCCGTTCCCAATTCTCTTTATCAAACCTTGCTTCAGAACGTCTCTTCCCTCTATAATGGCCCGCCCAGACCTGGCTTGGATGACTCCCCAATTCGGCATGGAGTATATCAGAGGTTGGGTAGTAGACACTTTTCAGGACTCGAGCACTCAACGACTCCGGGTCTTGCAACAAACGCCACGCGTGCCTAGCAAGCATGGATAGATTGAAAAGTTCAAAATCTTTGAACCTGAGGCCTCCCATGCCCTTGGGTTGTGTCATCGTTTTCCAAGAAACCCAATGCGGTTTACAATTTCCATCTTGTGCGCCCCACCAAAACTTCCGAATGAGCATGTTTAAATGTTCACACAAGCCTCTAGGGAGTTTTTTTTTCGGAGGGGGTGAAATAAAAATAAACTGAAGGCTGAGTTTTTTTTTTGGGCTAACTGAAGGCTGAGTTGGCCCATAGAGTCGCAAGACGAAACCAAAACTTTAGGCCCAAATAACAAGGCGGCCTATTAATAAAACACAAGGCGGTCCACCACTAATAGAAAAAAAAAATACAAGGCGGCCCATCGTCCTACTCCCCAGCAGAATATATCCGACCCAGTTCATGTGCAAAACCCAGTTATAGCTTTTCCCCTCATCTTCTCCGCAGATCAAACGCCAAAACCCTAGGCCGCTCCTTCTCCGACGCCGGCGACAACCCCCAACCCCTGCGGCTGTCCGCGGTAGCCGAGTGCGGAGGTAGCCATGGACAGCGCCCTCGCAAGCGCGGCGGCGATCGCCGACCAGCGCCAGAAGATCGAGCAGTACCGCCACATCCTCGCCTCCGTCATCTCGTCTTCCCCGCCGGACATCCCCCAGGCCAAGCGCTTCCTCAACCACAGTAACGCGCTTCACTCAAAGCCTAGCCGTAGATTTCTGGGTACTTGTTTTTTTTTTCTGTGCGTAATGGCCGGGATTGTTGCGAGCGCAGTGGTGTCGGATGAGGTGCCGCTCGTGGTGTCGCGGCAGCTGCTGCAGACGTTCGCGCAGGAGCTGGGGAAGCTGGAGCCGGACTCTCAGAAGGAGGTCGCCCACTACGCGCTCACGCAGATCCAGCCTCGTGTGGTCTCCTTCGAGGAGCAGGTAGGCACCCCTCGGTTCCTATAGAAGGCTAATTTTAAGTACCAGATTGCTCTGTTCTAGTTGTAGTATGTTGTACTGCACAGCCTGTAGAGCTACTATGTAATGCCATGATATGATTTTGGGAAATTGCTATCACAGCACTTTTGTTTTGACAGTTGGTCACACCTTCCACTGAATATTTTGAACTTACCCAGTAACTACTAGTAGTACGTATGGAGCTATTGCTGTAACGGGATTTTCTTGTTTGGAGTGGCCAATTTGGGCTTTGGCTAATTTTTGTCCAAGGGAATATGCAATGCATGAAGATGATATCATCCTGTTATCTCATTTATGCAGTCTCAGCTTAGATTATGTATGCAAAGGCAAGTATTGAGGATAATGTTATGCATTTTTAGTTGATGCTCTCTACCATTTAGATTTCCGTGTGGCATAGGCAGCCAACTACACAGCTTTGACAAGCCGTGTTAGTCTGCAATCCATTAAGAAGACCTATCGATTTGGTGCCCAGTCATTATAGGCCACATATCAGCCATTTGATCCAATTCCTTGAGCTTATTAACCTACATGGTTAACTTATTTTGATTATCTGTGTGATAGTTCGATACTAGGTATAAACAGGAAAATTATTGCTTAAGGATTATAGTTTTATAATACCTCATGATCTTGTCTGTGAGTAGAGAAAATAATGCAATATAGGGAATTACTGTTGCCACTCATTCCATGTTCATATGGGTTGCATTGCAGAAACCTGAATATCTACCTATAGCTTCGTGCATCATGTCCCTCTTATGCATTGCATTTCAGAAATCTAAATATCTATGGGTTACTTATTTAGTATTACTGTTTGGTAGTTCTGGTTGAAGTTGCAATTTATAATGTCATGGGTTTAAACTTTGTTAAGCTGCTGAGAACAGTCACTAAAATTAGCAGTTATGGAGTAGTATGATTTCTATTTATTGCAATCATGTCAAAGGTCTTAGATATTCATATTTCTAGGTAGTAGCTACCATCAAAGTAAACCAAGATGAAGTGTGCTTATATTGCAAAATACCTAGTTTTGAAAGATTATGTAGACTGAAGCTGGCTAATATATACCTGTGCAGATAAAATGTACAAAGGATGCCTGCATCATGCTTGTCATCTTGTGAAAGAAATTAACCGGTGAATTTCATGTGATATTTACTCATAGTTCAAAAAAGCGCTAGGCGTTAATTGTGCGTTTTGCCACCGCCTTGCGCTTTACTGACCAAAGCGCATGCTTATGCGCAGTTATGCACAGATTAAGCGTAGTTATGCGCAATGCGTTTTGCCAACGCCTAGAGCCTAGGCGCGCTTAAGCTCTTGCTTAGGCGCCCCTTTTTTAACTATGTAAACTGCACTTCCAGCTTCATGTAAATCTCATAGAGAATGTGAATCTCTAGATTTGTTTCTCTACCACAAATAACTGACTTAATATCTGTTTCTGTGGGCTTTGTAACCGCTCATTAAATCTTCTTCGGTGATTTCGTGATTGACCTTGTTGTTATTATGTAAAAGAAGTGTTGTAACAGTATAATTTTTCTTGCTATCTATATCCAGGTGGTGGTGATCAGAGAGAAGCTTGCAGAACTGTATGAATCTGAACAACAATGGTCGAGAGCAGCGCAAATGCTTAGTGGCATTGACTTGGACTCAGGAATCAGGTAGAAACAAGCTTTTGTCTCTCTTTACATGTCAATGAATTTTTTTCTAATTCTGGGAAATCTGTCCATCTGCTAAAAAACCAGGATGCTTGATGACACAAACAAATTATCCAAGTGCGTCCAGATTGCGCGACTCTATTTGGAGGTTAGTGCTGTTTAGCCTTTGTTGTCATTGGCTCATTTGCATGTCAGCTAGACTAATGTAGTTCTTAATTTTGTAGGATGATGATGCAGTGAATGCTGAAGCTTTTATCAACAAAGCCTCGTTTTTGGTCACAAACAGCAACCAGGAAGTTCTGAACTTACAGTACAAGGTTTGTTGGTTCAGAAACAGTCTAACAATCTATCTGTCTACAACCAAGGACAACAATTTAGTTCCCTTCTTATATCTCTTATAGGTCTGCTATGCGAGAATTTTAGATCTAAAACGTAAATTCTTGGAAGCTGCACTTCGATACTATGGTATCTCTCAGATTGAGCAACGCCAAATTGGGGATGAGTAAGGCTTACTCCCTTTTAATCTTCTGTCTTCTATGGTCCTTTGTTGCCTTGCTGGTGTAGTGGTGCCTAATCTCTACTTTACACACTTGCTATTTCAATATTTTGCTCATTGTATGAAATAAATTACCCTACTTGACACTCATGTTTAGATACTGCAGTGGTTATTGGCTAGTTGTGTTTGGAACTGATATTGCTTCCATATTTTATTCTCAAAAATCTTGATGGAACATTGTTTCTGTATTTTCTCAGAGAGATTGATGAAAATGCTCTTGAGCAAGCTCTTAGTGCTGCTGTAACATGCACAATATTGGCTGGTGCTGGCCCACAACGCTCTCGTGTTCTTGCTACACTGTACAAGGTATTGGCTTTTAGCTCATCTCAATGTCCTGTGGTTTCACACCTTTTTTATTTGCTCTATTATCATTGATTGCTCCAGTAACTTCTAACCATAATGATCATCTTAGTTCTCTCTTGATCCTGTTTTGCCACTTGGAAACCATCAACGCAAGTCACATCATTTATTTATAGTTTTAGTCCCACTGGTTTAAGTCATTACCACTTCCATTCCATGAACACACATTTTGAGTTTTGAGCAGTGCTATACATATGCAAGCTTTCTTTACGATTTTGTATGATCGACCAAATCATCCATTAGATCGCATCATTTTGCAAATCAGAACCGTTCAAAGTAGGCATCGTACACAATTAGTGTGTGCATTGTCTGTGCAGAGTAGTTTCGTTGAGATTTAACATTGATCTTTTATTTCACCAATAATATACTCCCTCCGTTCCTAAATATAAGTCTTTTTAGAGATCTAATATGGACTACATACGGAACAAAATGAGTGAATCTACACTCTAAACTATGTCTATATACATCCGTATGTAGTCCATATTGAAATATCTAAAAAGACTTATATTTAGGAACGGAGGGAGTATAAATCATGTGACTTTACAATTATACCCTTGGTCTTTTTCAAATACAAATTGAATGGTATAACTTTTGCTCCACATAACCCACATTTTGTTGGTTAAACTTGGCGGTCAAACTTGATTCTCGAGCTGCGCGTGCACTTTATTCACTGGAATGGAGGGAGTATAAATCATGTGACTTTACAATTATACCATTGGTCTTTTTCAAATACAAATTGAATGGTATAACTTTTGCTCCACATAACCCACATTTTGTTGGTTAAACTTGGCGGTCAAACTTGATTCTCGAGCTGCGCGTGCACTTTATTCACTGGAATGGAGGGAGTACTCCCTCCATAATCTGAATACATGTTGCTGGAGCTGTCTTGGCAAAGCAAAACAAAATATGGCGTTGGACGATTAGGAGTTCGGTGGTCAATTTTGCCCTTGTGGTATTAATGCCCCGGAAGTATAGATGTACCAGGCTTCGATCCCTGCACCCGCAGGGTACCGAGAAATGTTCATATATAATAATGGCAAGATGGTAAACAAGCTCTGTATTCAAGGGGCTCTTTGGATGGGAGCCGTGAGCTGCCCTTCCAAAAAATTGGTCGTTGACCAGATCTGGTTGCACGTTTGGTTGGATGCCAATTATTTTGTGGGTCCAGCACACCTCACTTCATGCAGTTCTATTTTCGCCAAATTGTTGGCGCGTCGCGGGTGGGGGAGTCCTCCGTTAATTATTTGGCTTGCCCATCGATTGGCGGGGCTGGCTGTGGCGCAATCCAAACAGCCTAACTCCACCCATAACCATGGTCTTGCCCCCCATCCCATCTGCTTGTTCTCTTTGGAGTTGGAGGTGTGTCACTATTTTGAGTTTTAGACTAACTGGTTAAGTTTTTAACTTAGATGAGCTGTGGTTTTACCTTACTGTCATAGTGGGCTTGTGATGCCTCATGTCGTCTCTATTTTCTCTTTGGTTGGTAACAATTTTAATTTGCTACTCATCATATTGTCTTCCCCTGTTATCTGATCAATTTAACGTGAAATAAACTAATTGCATCCTGGATGTGTGGGAACCAGTGGCGATTCTACTAGGGGGGCTTTAACAGGCTAAAAATCCTACTAGCTAAACATTACCACTTCAAAATTATATTGAGGTGTTTTACATGCAACAACTGCTATACATTTGCTAATTAGGCTTAGGAATTGATGTATTGAACCTACCCTTCTTTGTCGTGCTAGATTTGCCACTGGTGGGAACCCAGGGTTGTTAAACCTACTTTTTGCTAAACTCATCCAAGGTCTAAAAACACGCTGTTCTATAACTTTTTCCAGTTTGGTACCAACTTACTAATATCATAATCCTGTGAACCAGTTATGTTTAACCTTTTTTGATAATTCTTTTGCATGAACATCTTCCACCACAGTTTTAAACTGCCCACTGGCAGGCAACCTATACATCTTATTTTTGCAGAATGAAAGTCTTTTGGTCTTTTAGCAACCTATACATCTTATTTTTGCTTAATGAAAGTCTTTTGATCTTTTAGCTATGCCGCCTGAAACAAACATAATGGTTACCTTAGTAATGTGCAAATATTTTTATTTTCCAGTGTATCTTATCATAATGACTCCTAAGCTATGACTTATGGCATGATGTTATAATAATTTGCCCCTTCCAGGACGAAAGATGCTCGAAGCTCAAGATATATCCAATACTGCAGAAGGTATCTGACATTGATATACTCCCCTGGCATTATGTTTGGAATATAAGTTCTCTTTGTTGATAGGGTCTGCACTTTTTCCAATATTCAGGTATTTCTTGAAAGGATTTTGAGGAAACCAGAAATTGATGCATTTGCAGAGGAGCTGAAGCCGCATCAAGTAGGGAAACTTTTAGTCATCTGTACCTTGTTGAAAATAAGTTCTCATTTATGGTATTCCTGACTGGAGTTTCTCTACTGTTCAACAGAAAGCCCTTCTGCCAGACAAGTCTACTGTGCTTGACCGGGCGATGATTGAGCATAATCTCCTTAGTGCCAGTAAACTTTACACCAATATCAGGTCAGTATTCATGGATATTGTTGTACATTAATTATTGGTTTATTCAACCTAACAGACCATCAATTCATTTCTGCAGCTTTGAGGAGCTTGGAACATTGTTGGGCATTGACCCTAGAAAGGTAAATTCTTTGTGCATGTGTTGTTTCTTTCATTTCCATGAACTCTACTCTGCAATATTTTGCCATATTGTTTGTGGCTTGTAAAAGGGAACACGCAATGCTGTGTATAGCAATAACGGAGGATATTAAATTTACAACCAAAACATGGAAATATTTGTCAGGCTCAGCTCCTTTGTTCTTATTTCGGTTTCTACTGCTATACACATACAGGGTGCAGAGTTCTGAAACTTAATCTAGGATACCATTTAAATTTTGAGCCTTCTTACCATTGACTTCTCTACTGGCAGGCTGAGAAGATAGCATGTCGAATGATCTGCGAAGACAGAATGCGGGGTTCAATTGATCAGGTATTTTATGGGCTCTCTTTCTTGGCATTCACTATCTGCTATTGCTCACGAAATTCTGGAATTATTTAACCACATCTTTATGTTATCAGTCTGAAATTCATGCATACATCTTTGTTCCACAGGTTGAAGCTGTGATACACTTTGAGGATGACACCGAAGGGCTACAGCAGTGGGACCAACAGGTTAGTGTAGCCTTGTATTTCATTTCTTCCTAGTTTTAACCATTTTTTTTTTAAAATTTAGTTAAAGCGAGAAACTAGCCTTGATAGAACTGTATGCACTTGCACTTGCCTTCGTGCACTGTACACCAAAAAAATTCTCCACAAGCACCTGCTACGTTTACAACTACTATCAGGAAAACGCTTCCATCGGTTTCTAATCATGGATTGCAACAACTTTGCCACACCTGCAGATTGCTGGATTGTGCCAAGCGCTGAACGACATCCTTGACAGCATGTCGAGCAAGGGGATCGCTATACCTGTCTGAGGGAGTCTGTTACTCAGTTGTTTCGATGGTGTCTGTGATTTAACTCGGGTCAAGTCGCTGGATTAACATTTTTGTACAGATGTTTTGCCGTTGACTGATACTTCCGGAACCAATTCTGCTATGCGATCAGTTATGCTCTCTGTTTTTGCAGTGGGTATTAATGGTTTTGCACGCTCATCGGCCATCGCTGGGAATCACTATACAACACAAATACTTCCTCTTTATAACTTATATAAAAACCGTTTTTTGACACCGTCGTAGTAGGAGCATCGCTTGAGTATGAGCATCTATTCGTAATTTTAAAGCCTTTCTTCTAAATTCACTGTACCTGGAATCCAACTGATTTCATGTCTACAAATGAGTAACTCATCAAAACGTAACAATTCAACAACAGCACAGTAATCAGAAACTGTAACATGTAGTAGCAAGGACGGGATGAACTTTCCAGCAGATAGAGAATTTGTTCCTCTCTTTCACGATTTCTTCAATTTCACTGTTCTATGAGCGGATTTCCGGGACGGAAGGAGATTATGCACCAGTGGTCAGCATCCAATGCACTGCGATGAACAGCTCCTTTATTTATACGTACGTAGGCATAATCCACAAGCTCTTCTTCTATACACCAGCTACAGAAAGACACAGTGGCATTGTGGCAACGACGGACCCAACAAAACTACGAGTAGAGACTACAGTAGACTGAACAGAGCCACACAACTAGGATGGCCACCATTATTCGTACAGCGGTACGCGGGGAATGGGTAGAGCAGAGACCGTGCAAGGTGACTGGAAGTCTGGAACGGCGGCTGTTCAGGCGCTCTGGAACACGGCGCCCTTGCGACCACGGTAGCGCTTCTTCAGGTTCTTGGCCGCGCGGTACTTGGTGGTGTCTCCCCAGTCGCCTTCCTCCTCTTCCCACGGGTCGTCTCCGCCACGGCCGCCTTCCTCCTCCTCTCTCCTCCGCCTACGTTCCTCTTCCTCCCTCGGATCGTCTCCTCGTCCTCCTTGGCCTCCGCCGCCCTCTTCCTCCTCCCTCCTCCGCCTTTCCTCTTCCTCCCTCGGATCGTCACCTCCTCCGCCGCCTTCTTCCTCCTCCCTCCTCCGCCGTTCTTCCTCCTCCCTTGGATCATCACCTCCTCCTCCGCCTTGGCCTCCGCCACCTTCTTCCTCCTCCCTTCTCCTCCTTTCTTCTTCCTCTTCTTGCTCCC